AATATTTGTTTGAAAGTACGCAGAAAAAGTCAGTTCCTCATCAGGATTGTATACAAATTCTGATATGGTGTTTTGGACAGCGTCGAATGTAAGAGACGTTAAAGAATTTTTCGTTTTCTTCAGAATTCTATCCAACAACTTTTGTTGCTGCTTTTGTAGTTCTAGCAACTGTTGATTTTTATTGATGTTCTAGTTTCTGTTGTTGAATTTTAAACCATCGTAGCCAAAATTTGTTCCATATTCACAAGATTGTTTTTTACCTACACCCAAGAGAATTTGTTTCTTCTACACAACCAGAAAAATTGTTTTAAACCAACGTGGTTAAAATTCTTGTCGTTACCCTATCCTTGTTCCTGAAAGAACAAGTATATTCTTTCCATACTTGTTCACTCATATGTTTCCAAAATCCTTCTAACTCCAGTTATAAATCGTAAGAGTTCCGGAATCCTCGTCACAATGGTTATAAAGTGTTTCGTAGCGCTTATAAGTAATGCTTCGGTTGCTTGCGACTCTGGTATTAGACCCCAAACGGCTTGTATTTGACCAAACCTCCCCAGAAAGCGGGATGTGGCGCAAGGCCGCTTTTTATGTGGGGAGACTCCAAGCCCGTAGAGTCACGCAAAAATTCCCTTTAGACCCCGAATACACAGAGTTGGGTTTGCCTATCTCCTCAGACGAGAGATTGGCCGTATGCATAGCCTCGTCTAGGTTGCGCACTGTCAGAAGGCAGAGTGTTCGACAAGCCGGTTTCGATCCTGGCAGCGAACTACCCGACTCCCAAAGACTTCTCTCTCCTACCTCTGAACTGGAGTTCTTTATAGTCACTGGGGTGTACTATTTACTCCACAACACTCTTGTAAATGTATAGCATATTAGGTGCAACGAACCGACCATTTTTCCATCATCGTTAGAGATGGATCGTATATAAGAGTTCCACTTGAGATCTACAAGGATTTTCTGATTTTAGTCATGATATTTGTGTGAATTTCAAGCAGTTTTATTTGTTTACTAAAAATAAAATGTTACGGATGGCGCAACACAAAAGAACCAGATTCGTAGAAAGGTTGAAGAAAAGAGATTACATCTAATAACGAAATGCATATTTTATTTTACATATAATACAATATATTTTAGAACAATAGGGATGAAGTTTAAACAAATATAAATACTAACAAGTTACTAAGCGCGTGAGAGCCCAGAAAGTAGTTGGCTTAACGTTTGACTATATGTTATGGGGTCCACCTTTTTTTCATACAAGTGGACTCGACCAGTGTGTACTTGTACTGCTGCCGGTGAATACCTGGGAGAGATACACTGATAGAGTGATACAGTGAACAGTGAGAGAGTAAGAGAGTGAGGTAACCGCTTTGTAGGAGTCGAGCACGTAGACTCAGAAGGAAGTCATACTTCGATACTGAATTTCCCAGACTGTATATATATTATTATTGCTACTAACCGCATTTCTGGATCTACTAACCGTATTACCAATTGTATTATTACGTCAATACATTTATTTTTTATATTTCATTCCTGCGTTTGTCATTCATTTGAGACCGGATTTCATCTTGGAATCCACAACATATATAGAAGGGAATATATATATAAATCCACTATATTGTTTAAGATGAAGGCAACGGATGGAATTTGTCGTTAGTCCAAGAATTATATTATTTCTTCTTAAAAATAGTTTGATTAATTCACATATATATAAGATAAAAAAAAGGTTTGGTCAATAATATCAAGGAAAAGGGTGAAATATTTACCGATATTCTTTTTCTTTTCGAGGACTGTAGGAATTTAGAAAATTTCGGTAAGCTTTGTTCTTGAATTAAAAAGGAGGTTTGGAGTCGACCTCAGTAGTCGTGGCTGTGGGTTCAGGAATCAACTGGCCAGATGATACGAACTCCTGTTTATATGTTTTTGGACCCTCTAGAACCCAGTAAAAGTTTCTATAGATTTTCTAAAATCTATACTATTATTACGAAATCTAGAGGGTTTGATGAATGGGAGGTTTTCGTATGAAAAAAAGGGCATCTAGTAACTACAGATTTAAGTCATCATTTTAAATTAGATTTTGTATTTTTTATTTTTATAAGCAAAAAAGTTGGAAAAAGGGGGCTCGTAACAAATATGAAACCTATTTTTGCATATTTGAACTTTTAAAACATACAAATTTACTTTTCAATATTAGCCTTTTAATTCGAAGTTTCAAAATATTTTTTTTTCATTTTTATTTGTCGTATAAAGACCAGATAGGACACAAGACAGTATACGTGTTTCATTGAATAATACAGATTCTGTCATACGCAATAGCTCTTCTTCGTCAACTAGTGTTTTGGAAAAGTAACATTGTATATCAGTTTAAATGTTCTTTTGGAAATCTCTGACAAAAAGCAAGAAAGAAATAGAAAATCTGAAAGCTACATTTCAACAAAATTCCGACCTAAATTTTACTTATGAACTTAGCAAAAAATAAACTTCCTTTCTTAGATGTTCTCGTTGATTTTAGTAATAATACTTTTAAAACTTCTGTTTATAAAAAAATTAACTAGTAAAGACTCTTGCCATCTTAATTTCTCTAGTGAATGTCCTCTTAGATATAAAATAGGTGTTATTAAAAATTTCCATGAGAGCGCACGAGAATTCAAATCTCGCACGCTTTTTCTTTAAAGAATTAAACAATATAAAACAAACGCTGATTAATAACGGAATTTCCTAATCAATTGTTGGATTTTATATGTTTTCAGCGTTTTTCCTGTCTAAGGAAGCTAATAGCAACGACGAGAATAGAAATATAAACAATAATATTAATATTTTTTATAAAAAATCAAATGAATTTTTAAAAATTATAAACAGAATGAATGCAGAATTAAGAACATTATAAAAAAATGCATAACACCAGTTGACAATAGCAATTAGATTAATTATTTATTACAAAAATTTAAAACCTCTAAACTTATAGTTAAAAATAATAATTCACCTCTTAGAACAAAATTAAATAGGACAAATATCATTTATGAATTTAAATGCTCATTAAGGAATTGTATTCCTGATCAATCAAAATTCGTAAATAATTATATAGGCCACACTACAACATGTTTGACACGCAGAATCATTCTACACCTTTCTGACCATAGCTCAATTAGATCTCATTTAAGTATTCAAGGAGACCTACCGGACACTATTCGTAACATACTTGTTGACAAAAACTAATATAATAGCATCATCTACATGAAAAAAGGCTAAAAATAATGGAAGCTTTATTAATAAAAACAAAAATGAACAACACTTAATAATATTAACTATAAACATGGACACGATATCTTGACCGTGTTTTGAAAAATAACATTTTATAAAATATACACGCAACAAACTATTTCTTATTTAACAGTTAAAATATTTAATATTTGAAAATGGCTAAATGTATAGCCGAAAGCGCTCGGATAAAAAGAACATTCGGACAGTTTTTTTATATAATTTATCTGAAAAGAAAAAAAAATTATAAGATCGCATGAGAAATTTTTAAAAAACTAAATAAAAGCACCTTGTCTGTCGTATTCAATATATATATATATATATATATATATATATATATATATATATATATATATATATATATATATATATTGTGTGTGTGTTTCATTGAATAATATAGACATAATCATATGCAATAACTTCTCCGTAAACTAGTGTTGAAAAAAAAAAATTGTATATCAGTTTAAATGTCTTTTAGGAGATTGTATCTCTGACACAAAAGTAAGTACATATGTTGGTTTGACGAACACAACATTATCATGACGTCTTACATTTCATTTGTCGGATACAAGTTCTATTCTACAATATCTAAAAACACGACCCTGTCCAACTTTCTCAGTACAGGAAAATACTTATTGACAACACCTATATACTACATTACGAAAATAATAAACAAAACTTCAAATTCTAGATGGCCCTCTATATCAAAATCAACCAACCAACACTCAACAAAATTTATTACGAATATAGCAACAATACATTAAAGTGGTTATAACATTTAATGCTAGTTGACATTTCTACCAATTTCGAGTCAGCTCCCTTATATATCTTGTTTTGCAAAATTTCCATAACTACAACGGATAAATTTAAAATTTTAAAAAGATTACAGAGAACGTTCGCGCGTGTTTTTAAAAATCACCATCACAACGCATCTCCATTAAAAATTGACTGAGCATTATATATTGAAAAATTTCAGATCAAAATACATCTTATGATTGTGTCAGGCTGCGGATTTATTGATTGAGCTCCATACACAAAAGCGTTCTGAAATATTCTAAACCCGTGATAAGCCGAAAATGCAACTTACAAGTTGGGGATATTAAAATGAAGCAGGTCTAGAAATTAACATATCGAGGATGTGGTTCTAACAGAGGACGGAAAACAAAAGCTAAACAGAGACAGAAAAAAATCGTTAGAACAGAATTGATCAGTGAGACTAAAACGTTTACTCCATGGCTAGAAAACTTTGCTAACCAATTCTATGAAGAGGTCTGAGAACTTCTCGATCATTTAACCAAATGTCTAAACATCAAAATTATTTTTGGAATCGCTTAGTTGTGCCGAGCAATTTTCAGCTCTTTCGCACGAACTATAGCGATGTTTTTCTTTTTTCGACTTGATTTTCTCTAACGTACTGACAACACTCAGTTCTTGACAATGACCGAGACGGATGAATATATTTGAACATAAACTTTCATTATCTGATTTATTTTTTTTCTTTAACATCTTATCAACCTTTTGGAAGTTATTTAAAACCATAAAATATTTTTAGACCGTCAGATTTTTTTTAGATAATAATGGTTTACTGACACAAGTGTTAACAATTAACCCATAATTGGAGGAAAAGGCGGATTCATTTCTTTCCCAAGGTTATTTGCGCGTCAATAAATATAACGGAAACTAGAACTCTGCTCTCCGATTAACAACGCCAAACTATTATCCATTACACCACCCGCACATCCAAGCCTACAGCGCTTGGTATTCCTAAACGGTCACCCATCTAGGTACCGACATGGCTCGATATTGCTTAACTTCAGTGATCTTACGGAAACCGACGCTTCAACGTGATCCATCCATCCAGCATCTTATTGGAAAAATACAATAAAAAATTCAACAGTGTCGGTTGATTTTTTTTTTTTTTTTTTTAGATAATAATGGTTTAGTGACACAAGTCTTACTAATTAACCCATAGCTGGAGTAAAAGGCGGATTCATTTCTTTCCTAAGAGTATTTGAGCGTCAATGAATATAACGGAAAATAGAACACTGTTTTCTGATTAAGAACAACAACAACAACAAAAAAAAAAAAGAAATAAAAGAAAAAAAAAGAAGAGTAATGAATTGGTACGTGATACCTGTCCTTCTGTATGGCAGCAAATGCTGGACAATCTCCTCAAAGATGAAGAAGAGACTTGAAGCAAAAGAAATGAAGTTGTACACAAAGATTCTGAGGATAACATGAGCTTAACCATGTCAGCAACAACGAACGAGGTTTTAGAGAGCAGGAAGAGGCAGTTAAAATCTCCGGGGCACGTAATGAGGAAATAAGGCTAGGAAAATCTGATACTCACAGGACAGATTGTGAGAAAATAGGACAAAGAAAATCAGCGCAACATATTTGATGAGCTTGAGTAAATGGATAGAAGAACAGGGTTGGGGGAGAAATAACTAAAAAACGACAAAACTTATTAAGAGCTACAAGGGACAGAAAAGATTTTGGAGTCAATTTGATCTTTACATTCTGAAGGGAAAGCAGATAAAAAGAAGAATAGCACAGTTGTAAAAAGACGGAATGTTGTTTTCAGTCATTTTAAAAAATTCGAGATATGAATTAGAGATGCCAAAATCAAACAAGTACAGACGTTTAAATAGCTGGAAAGTATGACTCCGAAATCCGAAGGCGCTTTGAAATTGCAAAAAGATGCCTTCCATAAAGCTAAACAAAGTATTAAGAGGTTTCTGGGACACATAATGAGGAAGGAGGGTTTGGAAAACCTGATACTGACGGGATAGATTGAGGGACAGTTGTAAGCAGGGTGTAACGTACTTGATGAACTTCAGTAAATAGATATTAGAACAGGGGTTGGGAGTAATGAAAAAAAAAAAGGACAAAACTTATTGTTTTATAGGAATAAAGTGTCTTTGCCGACACTTGAGCTTGAACATAGATCGCCAGATAGTAAACACAGGCGATCCCATTATTGAAAGGAAATGAGCATTTGCCTTTAATTCGATACAAAAAAAAAGGAAGAAACAGCTGAAGTTTCTGGAACACACAATGAGGAAAGAGGGCTTGGAGAATCTGATACTCACGGGTCGAATAGAGGGAAAGAGAGACAAGGGAAAACAACGCGGGATATACCTGGTGGACTTAAGCAAGTGGATGACAGAACATGGTCTGGGGGAGTTAGCGGAGGGAAGGAACTTATTGAGAGCTGCAAGGGATAGAGGGAGGTGGAGAGCCATGATCGCCTACGTCCTGAAAGGACACGGCACATAAAATTGTTGCAAAAATAATGTCGTTTTTTGACGTTCAACTTAACGTAAAAAACGACGTCTTTATTTTTACACCAACCTAATAGAAAGAAAGAATTTGTGAACGTCAATGTTCCAGCTTCGGGCGGAATTTGAACATAGCCTGCCTAATTCAGTTTCCGGGCCTGTAACCACTTCACTACCTACACATCCAGTTCTTGTTAATAATAATATGAAGATTAGGCATCCTTTTTTATATAGTAATTAAGTAAATTAGGAATTGTTCATAATTGCCAAAAGGGTACGTTCACAGAAACACGCCTAAAAATAACTAAAGAATTATACATTTTTTTATTAAATTATATTCTATTTATTTTTGTTACACTTACTCAGATGAAATCACTTGTGACAACTGGCGCATACGGTTCATGCTAACAGAATAACAGCGAGACAAAGAGGAATTGCGACCTCTGCCTGATGTTGTCCTTATTAAGATTACAATGGCATAAATATACCTTTCCTCGCGCGCTTTCTCAGCGCTAGTAGGGCTGATTCTCTCCCCCACTACCGCTTCACCTGTCCCAGTAGCAAACTTGGATAGGGTTCAGTTAAAAAGATAGTAAAATTATCTACCCAGCTAATAACAACAACAATTCTTTATAGCTCTAAGCAATATTTATCTCTTTACTATATCTCCCAATGTTCTGTCGTCCATTTACAAAAAACTCGTTACGTTGTGGTGATCATGGCTCTCCACAACTTCTCATTCTTTATAGCGTCCTTGGTATGACGATAAACTACGTCCAACAGCAAGGCCTTTGATAATGTTTTTGAAAACATAATGTTCCCAAAAAAATAATATTACTAGTTATACGTTTTTTAAAAAATAGTATTACCAGCTATACGTTTTTGAAAAAATAATATTACGAGCTATACATTTTTGAGGAAAAAAATTAACAGAAATGGATTTTTGAGAAAGCAAAAATATTACCAGGAAAAAAATGTTGTCGGCATTAAATGACCCATTGAGGTTGATATACCGTAAAATTAAACAATCATTTTTTATAGCTCTAAGCAATATTTGTCTTTTTACCATCCCCCCCACACTATGTTCTGTCATCCATTTATACAAATTCTTTAATTAGAATCGATGTTTCGATATACCTTTTTTGTCTCCAGTCTATCCCGTGTTAAATTCTCAAAACCCACTTTTCTTACATCTCTGATGAATTCAAAGTGCATCTTTCTAAGTAAAAGTCCGTTTTGTTTCCATTTTCAATTAAACTTCCACATTGCTCTCATGTCCCGCTAATGATATTCTCAAAATCCTTCGCAAAACATTTCTGTGGCATCAAATGTCATCTCTGTTGGGAAATTCTCCTGCATTCACTGTTCTTTAGGATGATAAATATGATATATAATAGTCTAGAACTGTTTTCTTCGTTTCTAAGGAAGATTTAAGGTTTCTTAGTAATTTACGTTTTGGAAGGCATCAAGAAGTTACAACTTTCATTAGCAAGGCCAAGTCAGGCATTTTGTACAAGGTTAAAGAAATCTTAGACGTATCTTTTGAAGTTTACACAATTCTGTATTGCCTGTAGGTACATACATTTTTTTTAGTATTGTCTGCAGAAAAAGTGATAATATTACTTTAATTTGGTGAAAATCATAACTGGATGCAACCTGCCCATTCTTCATGGGTTGATTTGTCAGATTAAATCAGTGCAGCAGAAATCATGCAACGAATAACTGAAACTGATGGTAATTATGTAATAGGCGCAAACAGGTTTAGAAAACGGTTTGCAAAGTTTAAGAAAATAGCCGAGTGGATAAAATCGTTGGTTCGTGAATTTCGTGATATAATGAGTCCTCCGTATTCGCGGGGGTTAGGGACCAGAACCGGCCACAAATAGTTAGAATCCGTGAATACTTATAACCCACCCTAAAAGTGCTTATAAGTACTTATTTTGATTGTTAAAGGCCCAGATGCCTTAAACTTTCATCCTAAACACTTTAGAAACATTTCAGACCCTTTTTAAAAAACATTTTGAAATAGTATTAGTAGCTATGAACTTAGCGTAAATTTTCTTTCGTGCCTACAATAACCGTTTTTAATTACGCATAGATCGATACAACCATTGAAAATTCTGTATAAAATACGTGTAACAAGACATAAAATATAAAGTTTAAAATATTTTCTAAAAACAGAATGGTGATGATGCCTCCAGCGTAAGCCACTTTTAAGACCCCAGCTTCTAACAAAGAAACAATGCTCAATTAATACGCATGTTTTTGCGTTTGTTTTTTACAATTAAAATGTACAATTCAGCCAGTTTTTACCATAAAAATGGACTGTTATATGTTTTAAGTCACTTAAATAACAGGAAAATAATACAAGAATATTTTAAATATGTTCTATCGAAAAATTACGTGAATCAAGGGAGTTCTCAGCAAATAATTTGTACAGATGTTCTTCAGAAAAACACGCGAATATTTGAGGCTTTCGCGAATAACAAGTACATATGGTCTAAAAAAAAAAAAAAAAAAAGCCGCGAATGTGTGAAGCCGCGAATAGGCGGGGGCTCACTGTAGAGTAATTGTGAGCTGAATCTTTGGGCTGTGCTGTGTGTATTTGAACTCAGTGGAAACAGGGCGAGCAATAACTGAGAAGTACTGAAAATAAGTGTTGTATTTTGGCCAATCCTCCCCGTCAAAATGTTGTAACCTAGGAAAAGGTTACTGGGAAGAAAAAACTAAAACGATGGTTGGAAATGGAACGATAATATTTATAACAGAAACAACATACAAGACTTGCCAGCGACGTGTAGTAAGTAATCAACTAGAGCTAGAAGTGAATTGCAAGTGAAATTCCACAGTGAAGATATTCACTAATCTCTCCACGCGGTCAGATTTGGCACAAGGCTGAATTTAATGCGGTGTCAACCGAGCCTGTAGACTCGGGCAAAAATTCCCCCTAGACCCCGTATACACGGGGTCGGGTAGCTGTCTATCTCCCCAGACGAGACTCTGCCCTTCGATATAGCCTCGTCTGGGTTTGATCAGCACACAGTGGAATCCAACAGTGAAGATATTCACTTATCGCCCCACGCGGTCGGATGCGGCACAGGGCCAAGTTTATTGTGTGGTATCCGACCCCGCAGGTCCGGTCAATAATTCCCGGTAGACCCCGTAGAAACGAGGTCGGGAGGCTGTCTATCACCCCAGACGAAGCTATGCCGAATCTGGGTTCCTCTCTGCCCGGAGACAGAGAGTTTGACAAGCACACTGTAGAAGATCACAGTGAGATTTTCACTAACCGCCCCACGCGATCGGATGTGGCACAAGGCCGAGTTTATTGTGGGGTATCCGAGCCCGTAGGCTCGGGCAAAAATTCCCCGTAGACCCCGTAAAAACGGGTAGCTGTCTACAGTCTCTCTCCAGACGAGACTCTGCCCTTTGGCATAGCCTCGTCTGTGTTCCTCTCTACACAGAGTTTGACAAGCACACTATGGAAGACCACAGTGAATCAACATACAGTATATTCCACTGTATTTATAAGGATTGGGACATACACATTATAGTCTATAGGT